GTAATAATATCGGACTAACATCATTCACCTTACTCTTTTATCACAAGAGAAACTCGAGTTTCAAGATGGGACATTTGCATATCACACATGGGAGCGTAGTAAAAAGGCAACTGGGGTAAAAAGAAGGGGGTCACAGTTGTCTTCATTCTTTATCCGTATCTGTACCGGCCTCTTTTGCAACATATGTAGTCACTCTCTTGTGGTAGTAGTAATTATAATATTGGATATTATAATATCCATACTATAATGGGTACTACTGGGTATTATAATATTCCTTAACCCGATTTACCAAGATTCATACACGTCATCCGCGGCGGTGGATACGTCCGCGCTCTCCTCTTCTTTTTTACATTTTCTTATGCTTTTTCCCCATATATTTCCCCTTTTTCTTTTTTCCTCCTACTATTTCTTTTATTTACATCTTTCTATCTTAATTAATTTATATACCATAGTAAATTATTTTGTTACCACAATCGTCGTACTGACGAGGTCCAATTGTGGTAACGGTAAGAAATGTATACAACTTAATGGACCGAAACATTTCTTACCTATAACAAATATTTCTTTAGACCCCTTACCTATTTTAATATTCTTTTCCTCCTTTTCATTGTTTCCTTCTCCTGATATTTTCTTTTTAACCTTTAATTATAATAGCCATACTAGAAGACTGACAACTCCTATATGATGCCCCTCTCCCCCTCCCCCTCCTCCCCGCTCCACAACTGAAAGTCGTGTAAAGGGTAAGTTCCGGCGATTGCACAGATTTTTATGACCTCTGATTCACAACAGTCTGCAAATTTATGGGTAATATTGGTATATTAAATGGCTGTTAATTCACAGAATGGCTTTTCGTTTTTGTAACCCACAACTTTTTCACTTTTGCTTGTGCTTGGCTCGGCAGACAGCTTGTCGATAGCTCCATGGTTATCCCCAGAAAAGCATTTGCTAGGACTTAGATGTTTTCGATGTATATTGAGCATCCATCAGCTCGTTATTGAACGTCGCACCACTCTTAAATCATAACGCAGTATCTTAATGACTAGATGCTAAATAACTAAAAGCAATAAATTCTCGCACATCCAACCAGAACAACACCTATTTTCCTCTTTACTGTCGTCTGCAGTTCTTGTCTCGAACTCCTGACTAGTAGCCTCGTTCTCCTTCTCTATCCTGTCCCCAGTCTCTGCCTCCAAAGCTGCACCGAGGCACCCATCATCCACCACCCCCAACTATTCATCGTCTTGATCTCCTGACCAGCAGTTCACTTTTCCTCGCTATCCTGCCCTCGATCGCACCCTCTGAGGTGTATCTGGGTACCTACCAATTCCCCTCCCCCCATCCACCCGCCACCTTCGGACACGCGACCTAGCCGCTAGACACCATGTTGCGCTACCCAGTGCGCTTGGCGAAGTGCCAAACTGCGGACGCATTTATCCAGATGGTTCTCCCCGTTCAGCGAACGCACTTATCCATAAAATTTCTATCTAGATTTTATGAAAAATACGATTTTCCACTATTTATTGCCTCGAATGCGTAAAAAATCAATTTTGAGAAAGAACTAAAGCTTGAAACGACAGAGATATCCGCTGCTTTTAGACTCAGATTTGAAATATTTCAGCATACCTCACTGATGTATCGCTACTTCCACTGATTATCACTCGATCATCATATTGCAGACACAGTACGGAGCCGGTATGCCCACGCAGCGTCTGTGAGCACTGCAAATCTTTTCTCTGCCAAATTTTTATGGTATGATCGCGTAGGCCTGATATGATTTTATCATCATCGTACTGCAAACAATATACACCTGAAAAAAACAACTGCTTTTGATTAAAACTAGAAGAAAGCGGGGATGGCAGAACCATAAACAGCTTTGCCAAAAAGTGAAATAGAAGGGCTATAAAAGGCCGAACCAAAAACAGACGGTCCAAACAGGGTCGCCGAAGAGGGTGGAATTGTCAAGTGGCTTTTTTCGGCTGTTGATAGGCCAAACCAAACCTTCTGATGTATAACGGCCCGTACAAACCAAAGAAAATTCAGAATGGCTGAATTCCTTGAGTTTTAGGAGTGGGAAGGTGGAATTTGTCAATGAAACGAAAGATAGTTGGGCTGTTCATGTGGTACAAACTTCAGACATACTGTTGAATATAGCCATGTACATGGAATTCAAAAACAATTCACTGTTTTGTAATTTGACATTTATAAAAAAATATGATGTCTCAAAATCTCATTAAATGTCTCAAAATTCGTTAAAAAAGAAATGTATTGTACCTCGGCTCGGCTCCGAATGGCATGTGATACGAGAGAGTACATGTCGTCCATTTTGCCAATTTGCTTTCAATGATTCGATATCTCGATGTATTTTTGGATACAGTGCGCGATAAAAACGATGCTGAGCTTCCAGAGATTCCTGGGTATTCCTGAACAACAGATACATGCATTTTGTTATCCTAACTATCAAAAATAACGGTGTTTTGCAGAGTTTAAGTGAACCTGTATTGCTCAATAGCACTTGAACAGTAGCCCAATTCTTTAAATATCAATGTATGCGCACGATCCTTACTGATAAACAGAAATTTTCGCCTGTAATCACAACGGAAATGAGTGAGGAAGCAGCAACAACAACAACAACAATTATATTGAAATATTAGAACAGAGGGATTGGACTTAAGTGTCATGTGTAAGAAGACTTCTTACGCGATACAGTCTGCCTGTTTATCAAAATTTCCAAATGGTGGATTGGGGGCTGCACTGACCATTCCCACCCCAATTCACACCGCATACTGTCTGTGTTTGCAGCTTAGGGATGAAACACAGACAGCCATTTTCACATTTAGC